CAAAAGCAAATGCCAGCTGCTTCAGAGTAATTTCATGTTTACAAATCTCTGCAGAGGTGAAGTTACAGATAGCTTTACACACTGGCTAGGTGTATTAAGGGATATTGATATATCTGCCTGCCCCTGAGGCAGCACACTGGATTTGAATTGGTCTGACAGAGTATAGCAAATCCTCCATTCTTATCAATATGTATTGCTGTGCTTTTCTTTTCTCAACACTGTAAGAAACTAATTTAGAAAAGGAAATACAAAACATCAAGAATTAGTTAAAGTAACAGCCAGTGCCAGAATCTTTCTTCTTCCACGCTGACATCAGTGAGACGGCACAGACATCAAACTGAGGGTAAAATCTAAACCCAATTTTTTGCTGACTTTCTCAAAATAGAATTTGTACCATATAAACTAAATTGTAGGCCATTGGTTCTCAACCTTTTTGGATTTAAGGCTACCCTTGGAAATGCCAGCTTGTTTCCACTTATTTTTTTGACTAAAAATAATAGAGCAATTCTTCGGTTGCAAAAAACTCAGAAAAAACACAACAGGATAGAATGTTTTTGACACTGTGGATTCCTCTGTGAAATCTCTGGGCTTATCTGTGAATCCTTAGTAGCTGTTTATTCGCCTAGGAGTGCTAATATTATGCAACACCCTGTAGCACCCTTAAAATATCTCACAGCACCCCAAGGTGTCCTGGCACCCTGGCTGAAAATCAGTGTTGTAAATAGACATGCGTGCACAGACACGCGCACACACATGCACACTTTTCATGCCTATGTTGCCTACTAAAGCAGTTCATGATAAGTACTATTATCCAGTCTGACCTGAAGTTGTTGCTGATTGACAGACAGCTGGGGACAGAAATGTCATTTAAAAAATGTCAAACTCTTTTCATTTTAATGGTTAAGCAGGAATAGATTTTTTTTAATTATTATAAAAAAATAAATGTGCATCCTCAGGTCAAAGCTTATAGATACCATATTTCCTGCTGGAGTGCTTTTGAATGATGTTATAAACCTCTGGGTAAACAGGGTTTATAATTCAAACTCTGACAGACCATTAACTGTAAGTGTTAAGGGGTGTCACTATAATAAACTGCTCTGAACAGCTGCAAAGACAGTAAGGGAAGAAAGCAAAATTATGACAGATCTACACCCTGAAGACAGATTGAAAAATTAGCTTTTCTTGAAAGTAACACACTAACTGCAATGTTACTGACTGTACTGAGACCTAATTACCATCAATACACAAGAGATCACTTCAAACCTTCTTTTTTGCACAAATGAGAAATAAAGCATAATCTAGTCTTAATCAACTGGACAGATGATGAAGACATTAGGCTCCCATTACGGAATTTTTTTAAGTAGCTTGTTTTTGTGTTCTTTTTACTTTCTATCATTTGATACCGCCAAGATAGCAAGAGAAACATTGCCCTATATATGCTGTGGACAGAAACAAAAGGAAAAAAGATGAATAAAACTACATCAAAAGCCGTTTGATCCGACTAAAAACCATCCAGACACTTGACAACTCATCTTGATCGCATTTAAAATATTTTGCTCTCCACATTTTTCATGTATACAAAAAAAAGTCTGACGAGCTAGAACTGTATCTTGAATGAAATACTAAGGCATGCAACAAGCCAGAGACATCTATGTAGAGAACAAATTTCTTGCACTTCCATAAAAAAAAAAGCTCATTGGCCAGATCTGCTCTCTTTATGAACTACTTTCATTGACCTCAGCAGAGCCATTCAAAATCTACAGTAAGATAAATTAAAGCAGAATTTGACTCCATCAGCTCAACTCAGAACAGCCACACAACCTGCATCCTCATCTACACATTGGGGCAAAGCGAGTATGATACACTATCATTCTGGCTAGCAGCTTTTCACAACACCCTGCAGTGCCCAAGGTACAGACACAATGAATTTGGCCCTAAGTATTATATTAACCTACCTCACTTCCATTAGATTTAATTGCTTCAATCTCAAGAAAGTTGTCACCTGAGCCAATTCTATCAGGAAGCAGTGGTGTGAAGAACCAGCTCTGAGCACATGGAAAAAACATTGAGGAAATGCTGGCTTTTTTATACATAATATTTCTGTGAACTGGGAATGAAACCAGAGAAGCTGGAAGGGAAATTTGCAGCTGTGAGGGGAAGGGTTTTTATTATTATTTTATTTTAAACATATGTATTAACTATAGCTCAAAACAAGGAGTGGAGTGGAATCTGTAGCCAGAGGGAGAATCCTGTCAGTAAAATGCATGCCCCTTGCTGCTGCAACAGAATATCCTGCCGTGTTCGAGAGCCTCCAGAAATACTATCCTAACAAGCATATTTGGTGCAACTTTTATAAAGACCTTTGGTTTCCAAGACCAGACCGCTTTCTACTCCTTTAGAAGACAGCAACTTCTTGCAAGGCAAGTTAATCCAAAACCCAGCAAAACCTCTTTGGAAACAGGACTGGAGTACCAGCCAGTGTAAAATAAAGTTAAAATGCAGTTAAAAGACAAGAAGAAGCAGGTGTTGATAACTGACTGGAATATTGAGGGTGATGGTAAGAAAATATCTCTGCAAAGAGCAGCAATCTATGTTTTAAATGTGCATGGGGCTTCTGAAGCTGTTACTTGTTGTGCCTCAAGGTATGGCTCCTCCTTATCTGAGGGATGACAGTTGTCATCTTATCTGAGAAATGACAGCTCTCCTAGGAGTCGTAGGGCTGGAAGGGACCTCCAGAGGGTATCTAAATCAACCACCTGCCTGAGGCAGGATCAGTGCTACCCAAACCATCCCAAGCAACCATCATCTAAACTCTTGACCCCGCCACGACACAGGCCTAACCCCCTAACCTGCCATAGGCAGCAGGGCAGCCAACACCCCGCTGACAGATCCAGTACAGGCTCCCCATGTTGGCCATCACATAAACTCTTACTAAAACACAATGAAGTGCTGGGGGGGCACACAGGAAAGGTTTTGAAAGGAAAAACACTGATCTGCTGCAGTGGCAATGCATAGGGGGTGCATATGCACCCCGACAGGCCACACTCCCTGCTTAGACGATGGGCGAGGGAAGCAGGTGGGAGCACCAGTGCCCCCCTGCGAGCACCGGCCGGTGAGTGGGAGCGCCAGATGAAAAGCTGCAGCCACTTCCAGGAACACCACGGCCACTTCCTGGTCAGCGCTATCAGCTGCAGGGGACCCCCCCCCCCAATCAGCGAGATTGACCACAGGGGACCCTGCCCCTGGTTGATGACTGGTCTTTGGGGGGCATATACACCCCAACTAAGGTGGCACCAGTCACCCATGATCTTCTGAATGCTCAAATTAATTTCAGAAACCATCTCAAGGGTACGGGTTGCAGCCGTGTTGGTCTAAGGCAGAGGCGGACAATTATTTTGGGTGGAGGGCCACTTACTGAGTTTTGACAAGCCATCAAGGGCTGCATGACGGGCAGCCGGGGCCGATAATTATTAATTTTCTACATTTTTAGGGGTCCTGCGGGCCACAGTTTGCCCACCCCTGGTCTAAGGACATAGGCAGGCACGGTTCTTTGGGTAAATCCAATATCATTTATTAGACCGACTCAGTTAAGGGGGAAAATATCTTCTTTGCAAGCTTTCAGGTAAAACACCCTTGGCTAGGACGAAGCTGAGACACCTTCTCACACCCTCATACTCCATACCATGCCTTAAAGGCAATATTCAGCCCTGAGGGGAAAACGCTGCTAATCTAGCACTCCAGGTCGGAGGGAGAGAGGGCTGCTGTATCCCCCACTGCCCATTACGTGAAAGGCATGGCTATTTTGGAAGGGGGGGGTTCTTTTTTTGGCCTGAAGCTCTGCCCTTCTCAAGGCTGGATCCCACCCCTGGTAACCCTCAAGTTCAAACTCCCCGGCTTCCTGCGATTTCAAAGTAGCCTTTCCCCAGCCCCGGTCCCCGTCCCCACCCCAAACAGGCGATGCAGCTGCGGGTCTCCCCCAAACCTCTCCCTGCTTATTCCCCGTTGCAAGCCTCCCCTCCCTCCGCTGCCGGCCTGTCGCCTTCCTCGCCAGCCTTTCCTCCGGCGGCGGCTCTGGGGGCATCTGACACAAACAAGACAGCAGGAGAGGAGAGGGCGGCGGCGCCGGGCTCTGCGTGTGCGTGTCTGTCTCCGCTGGCAAGTGCCCAGCTCGCCGCCCCCCGGCCGCTCCTCCCTCCGCGCCCGGCCGCCTGCGAATCAAACTCGGTGCCCGCGGCGGCCAGGCAGCGCCTCCTCCCCCGGCCTCCATGTTGCAGCGTGAGGGGAAGGCCCGCCGAGCGGCTAGAGCCCGCGTCTCTACCCCTCCCCTCCCCTTCCACTCCCAGACCCTTCTGGAAACTGCGCGGCAGCCTCTTGCCGGGGGAGGCCGCCCGGCGGGGCTGGGGGACGCGTACACGCCCCCATCCCCCAAGCCCGCGGGCTGCAGAGCCGCCGGCTGGAAGGCGGCTTTGTCTCCTCGTCCAAGCGGGCGGCGCTGGGCGAGCCGTGCAGGGAGGGTACCAGCCCGCCCCTGCACCTGTGGGTAGCCCCCCCCTCCCCGGGATTCATGCAGCCCCGGCCACTTGTTCCCTTCCTACTGGGCAATTCAGAGGCAGGGAGAATGCTTGCGTCACTGGCACGGGAGGGGGCGCGCAATGCCCCCTCCCCAGACACGCACCGGGTGCATCCGTGTGACCACCCCCCACCAGCACGCAGCGTCGGGAAGGGCTTGCAAAAGTTTCCCCCGCACGTGTTTTTGGTTGGTGCACCCCCCCTGGAGCGGGTGCACGCTGGAGGGGCCGGCGCGGGAACGGGAGACGTCCCAGAACCTCCCGCTGCAGTGCACCTGCTGCTGCCCCAGCTCGCAGGCGGCCGAGACGCCCGGGCCGGCTCCTTCCCGCCCGGGGGGGCGGGGACGCTCGCGAATCCCTGCAGCAAATGAGGCCGTTCCGACTGGATTCGAATCCCCGGCAACGTTCCACCCCCCCGCGCGCGCGCACCAGCCCAGCCGCCGGCCGCGCGGGGCACCGGGAGGAGCTGCTGCCACCCAGCCGAGCAGCCGCCGAACAACGCCCCCCGCGCACTCGCACCACACACACACACGCCCCCCCCCC